ATGTCTTTATCATATCCTTCATCTCCACCGCCTCTCTCGTCATGACCACGATGTCATCCGCGTATGTCCCTGCCTCAGTCCCTTCGTTGTCCAGAACACGTGGCTCAGCTTATCTCCCACTTTTATCCTAGCCCTAGTCTCCATGTATATTTCCTTCACTCTCGCTATTAGGTGTTCCGTGATTCCCCTCCTCCCCATTTCCGCCCATAACTTCCCCTTGTCCATCTTATCAAAAGCCTCCTTCAGATCTAAAAACAGGGCGTACAATTTTCCTCCCTTCTTATCCAGCTCTCTATCTGCTAGATGCTTCAGCACATACACGTTGTCGATTGGTCCCTTTTCCTTCCGAAAGCCTGCCTGACGATCCGGCAAAATTCCCCCCAACTCCATCTCCTCCTCCAGTCTTCCCAACAGTATCTTCGTATATACCTTCTATGCCGAGTCTAGTAGGTTAATTCCCCTATAGCTATCTACAATTCCCTTATTACCCTTTTTATATACTAAGCAAATTACCCCCACTTTCCATTCCTCCGGAATCCCACCACCTCTCCGAGTGTTTTTTAAATAAAAGCGCCAAAAAGAAAGGTTGCTATTGGTCAGTTTTAAACAAAAAGTACATTAGGAAAATTCGAGATGTTACCGGACGCCTAGAAACATTCTAGTGTTAGTTCTAGTTTTAGTTCAATAAAAATATACAACATAGTAATACCTTATGCAAACTAGCGCTATCTACTTCTGCCACTAGAAGTAACACTAGACCAAGAACTAGAAACATCCGGGTTTAGCCGCACGTCTCTTAAGACGGCTAAACCCGAATGATTCTAGTTCTAGGTCTTGTGTTAGTTATAGTGCTAGTGTAAAACAAGTGATAAACACAGATACAGCATATAGAAAACTAAACACTGTTTGCGAAAGACTAAAAACTGATTACAGAAGACAGATACTACCTACAGAGACCTAATTATTGCTTGAAATAGTATAGAAACTGTTTGCAGAAGATTAAATATTGTTGGCAGAAGACAAATACCACATATGGATAACTAAACACTGGTTTTAGAAGCCTAGATATAACTTGAAATAGTGTAGAAACTGCTTGCACAAGGTTAACTATTGTTGGGAAAAGGTAGATACTTCCTATAGATGGCTAAATACTGCTTGAAATAGTTTAAATACTGCTTGCAGATGATTAAATATTATTGGAACAAAGCTATACTGGAAAAAAAATGTAAACTTCTGCTTGAAATGGACTAAAAACTGATTCTGCCTTCAGGTTCAATACTGCTACAAAAAAGTAGGTATTGTTGAAAATAATCAAACAATACTTAAAAGAGAATAATCACTATTTTCAGAAAACTAGAAGCGTTTACAAACGTTTACGTTTTTTAATGTACAGGACTTCCATTATCTTCACTACTTTTCACAGCTTTAGTAGGAAGCT